CTTTTTTTTTACTAGCGACATCTGTTGCGAAAATCAACCATGCTGGTAATCCATTGAAAAATTCTATCATCATCTGCTCGTCTTGTTAACATTGTTCGGGTATTGTCAATCGGGGTAATGCAGTACACATATTATAAAGAGTTTTTTTATAACTGTTCAGCTTTCACTAATTAATTAATTTATCTTTATTAGGGAGGCTTTCAGCCTGGGGCTGGTTCGCCTCCAATTCAGCTTTAACTAGTACATTCAATCAAAGTGTATGTTACTTCATACGTGAAGTATTCGAGCACAGAGTATGGAGAAAATGCTATACTAATATCAACATGAAGCTTTATTGCGATAATATATTAGCTACAGAAAGTTTAACAGAGGATAGATTCATAGTTCCGTTAGAGTGCGGCAGTTTGAAAAATGAATAATAGTTGAAATTGAGCGCATGGCTATTCCCAAACAACACACATGCTCCATATTGTGTTACTGGGGTTGATGCGACAATGCTAATCAAATGCGCACTCCTTTGCCTAACTAACTTGATGGGTGAGGGGAGTTGTGGTAGTTCTTCCTTACGACATTACCTTTTTTTACAGATATTATATGAACACAGCAACGTAGAAAAAATTTGAGCAATCGATCTAAAATACTAAAAAGTAATTTATTTCTCCTAAAGTTTACCATTTCTTTAAAACATGAGCAGTTCTTGGTAGATGAAAGCAATTTAACGATCGATCTGAAACTGAAAAGTTATTAAATTTTCTTGGAGCAGGCTCCTTTTTTATATCATGATCTGTTTTGAACCCTTCTTAACAACATGAGTTATTCTTTGAGAGATACAATAGTTCGAACAATTCATCTGAGATGCACAACCCAAGTAGTATTTCTTGTTTTATTGCACTCTATTAGTGGTTTTGAGATCAATTTTATAAAACCATCAATAAAATTAATAGCTCCAGCACAACCTTTTAATAACCGCTACAAGATCGTCTTGCAGCTTAGTGGACCACTCTTGATAATGTTTATAAAGCATGTTTGAGAATCACAATAAGGCTCTCTTAAAACCTTTTGTAATAAAGCCCCATACTCTACAAAAGGTTCTCATAGCCTCTTTAAGAGTAATATTGTATTCAAGCAGTTTTATTACGCTTTGGTGAAAATCAGTTATAAATCCAATTTAATTTGTATTGGCTTCAAAGCAACCGCCATAAATTAGCTTGTTGTTGTTCTGTTCTGCTGAAACTTTTTTTTAATCCATATAGAAATCTTTAGCTGTAAAAATAGGTTTGAGTGTTGGTGTCAAGATCACCATGCAATCAATTTTGTTTCATGGCGACATTAGTGAAAATCCTAGAGAAAATTTATGACTTTTTAGAAGTTCCAAAACATATGCGCTTGAAATTTTATCGTGTATATTGGGATAATATGAGCGATAAATAAATGCGCCTACAAAATAATTCAAGTTAACAAAAAAGATTGTTTCAGAAATCAAATGAATTTGATGGATCATCTTAATTTTACAGAAAATAGGTCTCAATAAATAAATTCATACCAATGCACACTGGAAATCATTTCGGATCTCTAATTTTGCCATTATTTTATTGAAATTTCTTGGATTTTATTCGAAGGCTAATGGCATTTTCATAATGACAATATGGCGACAGAGGACAGCAGGGAAGAAAAACACCAAGCGCAATGCTTACATTGCACACTGGGTCAGGAATGCAACCTAATTAATAACTCCGAAACGAAACATTTCCGCGACTTGGTGTCTTGGGTAAAATTTCTCATCATAATATGGACCATCTATTGACATGAACAAATAGTTCAAAACACTTCCGCAAAGATGGCGCCACAATATAACTTCTTTCTCTGATGTTTTGGAGACTTGATGTCTTCGGTAAAGTTGTTTATCTTGACAAAATAAACAGCTCTTTCAAAGACGTAAGATTTCCACAGTCTACTGGTTCCAAGTTATATGGAGTTAAAGAAAAAAATGTCGAAAATATGGGTTTTTCTTTTTGTTTCGGTTTTTTTTTTTGCTTACAACCATATAATGTTATACCTTTCTCTTATGCAAATGCATTAAATAAATAGCTTTTGTGAAGAAACATACTAGATTAAGCTTCAAATTTCAAAGATATGGTTGAAAAAATCATCAGAGAGTTCTGATGAGAATGCCTAGAGAATAGTAGCAGTCGTTTCGAGTAGAATTCTAAGACTCAGAACTTCTGAGATTCCATGGGGGTTCTCAGATCACGGTCATTGGTGCGTTTTTGGATACCAGAATTCTAAAGAGAATACCAACAGAAAATTCTAACGGAATTATGAGAAAATGATGAGAAAAATTTAAAGAGAAGTTTGGAAATAATTCAGAAGATAATATAAAAAAAAAATCTATTGATAACTTCAAAAACTTCAAAGTCATCCTGCTGACAAGAATTACAAACAAATTATGATTGGAAATCAAAGGTAATCTGCATCTGAGGATAATTGAAAGGGAACATGAGGAAGATTCCAAGGGAATTTATGCAAAAAAAAGTATTTATTAATATCAAAGAACATCTGGAAGCATTTCCAGGTAATTTTGAGGAGAATCCCGATGAAATGTCGAAAGAATGCTTAAGGAATGCTAAAAATAATTACTCGAAAAATTTCAAGAGATTCTCAATGAATATTTGGGAGCTCAAGGACACTTTGTGAAAAATTTCAAGCAAATTGTTTAAGAATGCTTTGGGTACAGAATTTTTAATTTACTACATTGCCGCTAAATAAATAAATACCTATAAAAAGGTATATAGGTGGAAATTTAATATACTAAACCATGACATGTAAGACTCTATTACAGATGTGCATAAAAAGCAAACATAATTTGTAATGTATCATCACATGAGCAGATTCTGAAATGTGATCGTCGGAAGGTTTTTAAATAATTTTGTATTTTTTATGATATAAACTTTTTCAAACAAAGTTTGTTTCCCCAAATGCACTGTGGCTAGAAAATCATCTCGTAAAGGTTTTGTACGAAAATATTCATTCTGCAAAAGCTTGCTTGTACGCTACTGTCCATTGCAAGAACTGCCATTACATTTGTTGTATAAAACATATGTAATAAATTCAACCTTACATTGGATGTAAGATACATTAGTTTTGCGTGTAGGTGTAGATTTAAGTGCCTCCCTAGCTGCACACTTGTTCCAGAGTGCTTGTTGATTTATCTCACTATCGCGTCTCGGTCAGTTTTTGGTGCGGAAGTGAACAAATTAAAAACACAAATTTAAATCAAAAACACGTAACATGTAAAATCCATCAAAGACATGTAACATGGAAAGCTGTTCATGCTTGGGTGTAGTTTGGAAGCACAATGAACATTCTTTCATTCAGGGTTTCATACAAACAAGCATTAGGTCCCATCAACAGATCACCCGACTCACAACGTATCCCAATATATTTCGCACGAGACTACCGAACTTTCACCACTTTGCCAAAACCATATGTTTGCCAACAGAATGTTTTGTTCAGCTTCCGACTTCGACTGTTTACGTTTCGGGTTCGATCTTTGCCCCCTCTCCGCCCTGATGGTTTGTAATCAAATAAACACCGTGGTGAAGCGAAGTCCAGACGCTCTACTATTCCCAATTCACGGTTGCTGGGGAGACATGCCATCAAAACTTTTCGAGAGTGTTGTAAATCAAATTCGTTGACTGTCCACAATTGACCGCATGGACGGTTATTTGGCAAGCATTTTTGCGACTATACCACGCTTCAACAGACTTCTGCACAAAACTAAATAACACCCACGCCGGATAATGATAAAATTTAGTGATTTAATCATAGAGGGAAATGGTGTAAAACGCTCCACCATGATATTTCGCATTAGGATCAACTTTTCATTGCAGGGGCTTCTCAATTTAAAATTTTTCATTTTTGACCCCAACAAATAAAATTTAAAGTTTGTTTCGGTGCTTTTCGATGTAAGATTTGTTCGATGGTTTGTTAGAGTTTTCATATTGAAAAAAGAGCATCCCCAACTCATGATATGAATGCAGCATTACTAGCTTCTTGATCTATGAGAAAACAAAAAGGTTTTTCGATCACAAAGAAGCGTTTTTAATGTATAAAGTTCTGAGCTGAGAGTGGGTGAGTATGCGCCGCATTGTCTGGTAACTCCTAAAAAACCGTTGACATTTAAATTGCAGTTATGAGTTACGTAAAACTGGAGTTATGGAAAATGGAAACCTTATAGAGCAGCCTAAATGTATACTTCCTGCAATAAACTCCAACATGTATGTAACCTACATAGCATCAAGCTTAACGCATAGCATCTACGTGGTGGAACACATTACCCAGTAAAAATTAAAAATGTTGAGAAGATTTTCAGTAAAATCATTTCCTCGGAGATAAATGCATATTGTATCATCAAGATGGTTCGTCAGGTTAATGAATGCACTGAAACAGAATATATATTTGTCATCAATAGGTAGTGAAAATTATTCATTTCCGTAAAGGGCGCGTATTATCCCATGTTTCCCAAGCAGTGATGACGATCCGCAGCACCAAAAAAACCGGTCTTCTCAAGTTACCGGTCGTTTTGCTGGATTCCAGTCGAATCTACGCAGTTTCAACTGACATCCGTTGCGATGGATTTCAGCTTTTCAACAAATAAGTACCCAAGTGCGACACTTTTGCCGGATAATTTTAGCTCAACTACCGAGTTTCAAGTCGGCCAAAAAAGAGCTCTTCTATAGCCATCTCAAGTGGTTTAACATAGACCTTCCGTTTACAGTCAAGTGTTGAGGACTAAAAATAGCTCGCCGAATCGTGGACTACTATTAGTATCTACTGTTGGTGCGAAATACTCATTCCCGAGCTGAAGAGATCGAGTAAACAGAAGTGTAGCTTAGAATACTTTTTTCGGTGAACTATCTACTACGCCAGATTGAATCATTGGAAATGCATTACAACCGCCAAAATAAACCAGCAGCTGCAGTTTAAAAAATATTACTTACCGCCAATTGAGCAACTCTCGATACGGGGACGCATTTTCCTTGTTGGTTGAATCTTGGCGGTATCAAATAAAACGATTTAGAACAAAAACAGCAACCGATGGTGGTATCTGCAAAATAAATAGAAATGGAAGTTTGTTAGTTTTATTTTTGCAAACCAATTCGAAGGTCAAAACTCGATGCTCATAGTACACGAGTTTGGATTGATCAATAACAGTGACGCGCTGTGCTTTGAGGTTGAAATTAGAAATTTGCAGCAACGAAATGAGTCCTTCTGCTATCATCCTCGTTTTCAACCATTCACTGTCTTTTACCGGGTGGTTGTTGTTGTACGGTGTAGGTACGTAGTTGGAGTTTATTTATCAGCGATGCCCTTGAATGTTTCAAAATAAACAAAACAGGCGTAATCGTGCAAACCGAAAGACAAGGGCATTCACCTGTTTACGTTTTCGGAATGTTTCAAACTTCTTTTAACTGGAGTGGAGCAGTATGGTAAACACTCCTATAGTTAAGGAGACTCCATAAGCAACTATTGAAAACTAACGCGTCTAACGTACCGCAATTATGGGAGCCTTAAGCTATGATCTATTCATTCGGAAAGAGAAGGGATTTTGTTTGGCATAGGGATTTCAAATGGGCTAAGTGTAAATTGAAAATTTGTGAAATAAATATAAAGATAGGCCTCGAAAAACGGCCATCTTGAAAAAAGGCTTTTTTTTTCCTTTGGTTTGTTTTTTTCCGTCGATTTTGTTTTCCGTGCTGAGCACCAATGCTACCGACGTGCCAGGAAGGCAGCTCCCACACCTGGACCCTACCTATCGATCCATCAACTCATGAACCGGGGACCAACGGCTTTACTTCCCTTCCGAAGGAAGGCGTGATCAGAGATGTTATGCCTTAGAACATCCCGGCGGCGCCGACTGGGATTGAACCCAGGCCTGCTGGGGTGAGAGGTAATCACGCTTACCACTACACCACCGGCGCCGTTATGAAAAAAGGCTTGATGATGCAGATTTCAAAATTTTGATGTCCTTGATTTGTTTTCAGTCGATCTTGTTTTCCGTACTGAGTACCAATACTACCGACGCCAGGGAGTCAGCTCCCACACCTGGACCCTAGCTATCGCCCCATCAATTCATGGCCTGAGGACCAACGGCTTTACTTCCCTTCAGAAGGAAGGCGTGATAAGATATTTAATACCTTAGAAAATCCCAGCGGCACCGACTGGGATTGAACCCAGGCCCTCTGGGGTTAGAGAATGGGAGAGGAGTTGTAAAACACTGTTGATAAAAAAGTAAGAGGCAAATTAATGTAAATGAATGCAAACGATTTCGCAGGCCTGCATGACTCATAACGAACAGACGTTGTATTCGCGGTATCGTATTCCTCATCTTATTTTACGTTCATTATGCTGTGTTAAATTAGATGACATATACGATCCCGTGCATATAACGTATATTCGTTAGGAGTCAGGTAATTCAGTAGGCCGATTGCCATTAGGTCGAACGCTATTAGGATGAATGTTTTATAGTTGTTTCGTCATACGACATCTGCGTTGTTCTAATTTGAGGACATACATGATGGAGTCCAAATATGGCCGACATGATGACGGACTTGCACTATCAATTCAAATTTTCTAGTGTACAAATTTTAGACACTACAACAACTTTACGCTTTGCAAACGAATCTCCATGTTTGCTGCACTATAGCATACGTTGGTACCCATTTTCATATTGTTATTGTTGGAACTGATATGTGTGCTCTTAATTTTTCTAAGTAAAAAGGGTTTCATCATCACAAGATTATAAAGAAAGCAAAATTATGGTGATTGTTCATGAGTATGCTTAGTTTTGAAATAAAAAGTAAACAAAAGGAATCTTATAAGCTACCGGTCGGTTTGATTCATAACCCTGAAATATTAGCCAGTGCAAAAAATGTAACAAAATTATGAAGGGTTTAGATGTCACACAAATGGTTTGATGATATTTTGGAGAATTACTAAGGGAAATTTTTGAATTTCACTAATAAGGCTCTATCTTCAGTTCAAGTTGTCCGAATACTGTCAAAATCGTATAGTGATAGACCTTCTGAGTAAGATTCGTTTACAGTGTAGACTCAAAATAGAAACCAACAGAAGTTACCAGTGGGATAATACACGAAACGGAAATCAATTATTTTATTCATGTGATTCCACTTATACATTTTTGCCAAAACATCAGCCTTATACTTTCCATAAGACAAACCACATAGGTCCTATAAGAATGCATAAAAGGTATGTGTGACCGCTTATACATTTCATTTGACACATGATCTTCATTAATTTTTTGCAAGGCGTCTGCTTATTAGTTGACTTATACATTTTATGAATAATCAGCAATAGAAATTTGCCAAAAGGTATAAGGAGATTTCTATCCGTGTAGGGTGCTAAGTTAAAATAGCGACCTAGGTGGAGCAACATTCATGGGGTGCTCTAAAATCAACTTTTTTTTTTTCTTAAAACGCCAAAGTGTCTTATAAGCGGCCTTAAACATCAATACGCCATATAAAACCTGTCCACGTTAAATTTCGAACGCTGATACGTTTCACTTATATGACAGCTGAAGCTCTCCACTTTATTTCATGGTACAACTACATTCATGTTTAGTTTGTTAAAATGGCGTCGAATCAAGTGGACGCAAACGCATTTTGTACGAACGTTGTCGGTACGCGATCAGTTTTTACAAAACAAAAATTCTCGTATCATAATGGATGATGAAACATACGTGCTCGAATTTATACTGCAATACAAAGGAATGCCTTTGCCGAGTGTTTCCAGACAAAGAAGCTTTCGAAATTCTCCAAAAAGTATTTGGTTTGGCAGGCCATATGTAGTTGCGGCCGGATATCCAAAAGTTTCATCTCTAACGGCACTATCAACAAAGATGTGTACGAGAAAGAATGTTTGCAAATGCGGTTTCTACCCTTCATCAGAAGCCACAACACTCCAGCTCTGTTTTGGTCTCTGGTCACTATGCAAAATCCGTCTTGGAATGGTATAATGCACAAGAGGTCAAATAAGTGCCAAAAACAGCCAATCCGCAAAACTGTCCAGAAGCTCACCCAATAGAAAGGTACTGGACTCTGGTTATGCGGAAACTATTTGAAACAAAAAGGAAAGCAAATGGCATGAATGATTTCAAGAGGAGATCGAGGCAGGCCGCCACTAAGGTATTTGAGGATACTGTACGGAACCTGATGGCGGGTATCCCACAGAAAGTTCGATAATTTTACAGACAACAAGAATAAGCTACGTTTGCTATCGATACAAGTCTACTTTTCTGAAATAAACAATCGGTTTTGTTGTATTATGTGTAGATTTGTTTTCTCGACATTATCTTAGTGTCCAAAATTTAACGTGGACAGGCTTTAAAAAGACGGAATCGCATTGATATGGGTAATAGCCTGAATTCATCCACCTATGGTGATATCTGACCCTTCTTACTAAGTTAAATTTTGAGCCACTTCCAAGACGGTATCCGGAAAGTGTCCAGGTGTTGGCCAACGTGTCCCTGGGTTCTTAACCCATTAACGCCCAAATTGATTTTGACATCCGGACAATGCGCCATTTTCCAGGAGTAACCCAAGGATTTTTCTCACATTATTTGAAAACAAGATGTTAAGGATATTCCAAGGATCTTTCTAGTGATATTGAAAACATAATTTACGTTTTCCATTTCTGTTAAGACATGATAAAAGAATAAAAAAATGTAGATCTATAAATAGATCACTGAGCGTTAATCGGTTAATGTGACTAGCAATGAGCTTTTTTTAAAGCTCTCATGAAATTACTGTTAACTTGCCTTTTCACAAAATTGAAGGGACCATCGAGATAGGGAGAGCTCAACATTCAGAACAATAATGTATTAGCCTACTAGTACGATTTTAGTAGCACTTCTCCAATGCACAACGTGTAAATATTTACATCATTGACAAATATCAGGTAATCATGACATTTTGGTCTTGACGCGAATGAAAAAAAGAGACCTACTGCACCAGAATCTGTCATGATTACCTGTTTTTTTTTTTTTTTTTTCAAAAAACGAAAATATTTACGCAGTGTGCAGCGAAGAATATGGAGAGTAATTTGTCCCCGAATATTGTCCTGGGACCATCGACACAAAGCACGATCGAGATAGCGATAATTTATAATAACTTCCATATTTTTTTATTCACTTCCCGGAATCCCGGGATTTCCCAGTATTGAATTATTTCCCAAATCCCGGATGGTGAAAACCCCTGGAAAATGGAAGCTCTAGTTTTATATGATGTTTTTGTCAGTGCTGAAATTTATCAATGTCATTTACAGACTTTCGCGCGATATTGACAAAATTGCTTATCACTTGCTTGACAAAATTGCTTACCGATGATAAGTTTAAGGACACCCCAAAAAACCATGCAAATATGTTGTGTTCAATTTTCGATCTCCAAAGGTTATTTGAATGGTTTGAATGGTATAACATAAGTGTTCTACTGCTACTTTTATTTCAAAATTTGGCCAACCCAATCCTGAGAAAATCAGTCACGATTCTTGAGAGTAAATTTTGAAAAATATTGTAATTTTGAGTGAACTTCTAACACACAAAATTTGAAAATTATATTGAACAATTTGCCTACGAGGAAAGTTCCATTCAATACCTTTCAAATGATCTAAAGAGAACGAAAATTGGATGTAACATGACAGAGATATGAACATAACAAATTTGTCATGTTTTTTTTGGGGGTGTTCTTAAACTTATGCTCGGGAGTGTAGTCACTGATATATTTGATCCTTCAAAAAACCTTTGCCATTCATTTTTCGTCAATGACAAGGATTCACCTGGTAACAAAACGTAATTTCGTGCATTCTGTCTGTCAAATTATTGCAGCAGTTCAGAACATAGATGCTTGTTCACTTTAACGAGCCCATGTAATTGTTTTGCTCAAGTCATATCATGTCGTTACAAATTTAGCTAATAAAAAAATTGCACATGTTCGTCACTGACAATTGACATGGTTTGCCTTGACGGTGACTGCTCAAATGAGTGACCAAAGCATTTTTTAAATTTTGAATATCGCCGTGTATTGTCGAAAT